CAACATTTAAGGAAAGATTGTATATCTGTAAAGTGAGGTATTTTAAGGGAGGGAAACTTTAAAGTGTGATGGTAACATTTTGCTGGCAGCTCTTCTCATACTCAGAGGCTTTATTTTGGCTCCAAATACATTACAACTAGAACTATATGATGTAAGTAAGCCATCCAGATCTAGATCTCTGATAATATCCACAAGCCAGAGGCAGTGAAGAAACAGGATCACACAGAACTGAGTTCAGGAAAGGGGGTGGGAATCAAAAGACAATGTCTTCATCACAGAGTAGGTCCAGCTCACATTTTAAGGTCTTTCAAGTCAATAATCAATGATTGCGAATTCTTAGGCTCCCTCAATCAGGAAGAAAAATGATTTGTACTTTTGAAAAGGAAGTGAAATATTCTATTCAAACTTACCAAGATGCATACAAATTCATACACACTTCCTCTCTTGGGACATTTTTGGGGAAATAATTATCTTAGTAATTATTGACATGTACATTAATATCTATTTTAAAAATCAAAATAATTATATGACTTACCTGATTTGGGATAAGAAATAATAAAGATACCACTGTCTTGCATTTCAAAGTCTTTCAGGACATTTAGAAAATTTGGATCAACGTATTGGCGTGGAAAGTTATAGCCTTTGAAGGGTAGCCAATGATGATGACTTTCCTTTATTTTTGTTTTGCCATTGTTCAGTGATCTCCTACCAAAGCATAGTAATAATTTAGAAAAATTGAGAAGTTTGATTTTCCTATCTATTTACTGTGTAACATAGCAGTTTACAAGGAATAAGAACAAGATAGTTTGGAGTCTTGGCACTGCTGTGAGCCAAGTAAATGTTTAATCACTTTTGTTCTTACACAGCCACATTTAGATTCCAATTGTATAGGGTTCATTAGATGGTTTTGTGCTTTATCCAAGCACTAATTCATAAACAGGATACAAACACAAGATTTTTTTAATGGTCAAAATACTGAAACATAGTATTTGGCTATACAAATCAAAATTTTAAATGTAGTTAAATTTTTTACCCAGAAATTTTACTTCCAGAAATTTGTACACACACACACACATATATATATATTATATACACTTTAAGAACAGAACCAATATAACAGTGCTAGGATATTTAGTGCTACATTGATTTTAAAAGATATTGATAAATCAAGTCTCCATCAGCAGCCATTGAGTTAAATAAATTGACATTTATGTGATATCAAATATGTTACACTTGCTATATATACATATATATATTGAAATTTATATACACACAGATATACACACACAAAACCAACAAAACCAATGAAGGTTTTGAACTATTAAGTGAAAAAAAGTTGTAGAACAGTACCTAATGTGATCCCATTTACTTCTTTAAAAATATTTTTTCATAAATACATTTTTTTTACTATCTTAATCAAAAATATAAACTACACATGGGAAAATACATTTTTTTTTTATTGAATAGTTCATACTTTCTATCATGGGCTTAGAAATGTGCACTATTGTAACATTCCTATTTGATTAAGGAATTCCAAATTGGAGTGCATCATTTTTATTTTCATTATACCTGGACTACTTTTTTTAAAAATTAGAAGACTATATTATTTTTATGTATTACAACTATTTTAAAATGCCCTAAATAATCAAATCATGTGCTATTAAAAAATACTACTTTTTAAAAAGTAATAATGATGAAATAGAAATTTGTGTCAATACAATAGGAGTCCCTGAGTGTTGCAAATGGTTAATGTGCTAGGCTGCTAACCAAAAGGTTAGAGATTCAAATCCACCCAGAGGCACCTCAGAAAATAAAAACCTGATAGTCTATTGATGAAAAATCAGCCACTGAAAGCCCTGTAGAGCACAATTCTACTCTGGCCCACATGGAGTCTCCATGATTTGGAACTGACCTGATGACAACTAGGCTTACTGGTCATTAAAATAAAACTAAACGCGTTGCCATCAAGTTGATCTCAACTCATAGAGGTCCTGTAGGACAGAGTACAACTGCCCCATAGGGTTTCCAAGGCTATAATCTTTATGGCAGCAGGCTGCCACGTCTTTCTCCCAAAGAGCTGCTGGTGGGTTCAAACCGCCAACATTTTTGGTTAGCAGCAAGCACTTAACCATTGCACCACCAGGGCTCCTATCACAAGTACAGATGTTAGGATGTACTACACATATTTTGAGAGGATGCAATTCAGTCCATAACATACGTAATCCAACATGCCTCACCTAAAAGTCTGCTATTTTAAAAGAAAATTAACATTAATGTTAGGAGAAGGTAAACTTAAAAATATGTGTTAGGTTGTTGCTACTGTTTGTGTTGTAGTTAGCTGCCTTCGAGTCAGCCCCATACTCATAGCAACTCTATGAACAACGGAAAAAAACACCGCCTGGCTCAATGCCATCCCCACCATCTGTTGCTGATCTGACCTTTGTGATGCATAGAGTTTTTATTGGCTGATTTTTGGAAGCATATCCCCAGGCCTTTCTTCCTATTGCTACTATTAATCTTATCAAAACTCACTACATGATCGAAATGAAATTACCTTCGATTTAAAAGATCGAGATATCAAATTTCTTTAAAGGAAAGTAGTTTTTTTATAGACCTATCATCACTAAACTATCTATGAAAATATTCCTCAATAGAAGTATTCCTAAACCCAATAAATAGAACCTGTCCAACCTACTTTTGTGATTTCTTTGTTATAAACACACCCTGGTAGCACAATGGACAGCTCACCAAAAGGCCAGTGGTTCAAACCCACCAGCAACTCCATCAGAGAAAAGACCTGGTGATCCGCTCCTATAAAGTTTATAGTTGAAGAAACACAATGGGGCAGTTCTACTCTATCCTGTAGGGTCGATGTGAGTCAGAATCAACTCAACAGCAATAATGTTTTTCTTAAGCATAGTACCATGTCCCATGAAAGCTCTGCATCATTAATTTGCTTTGCAATTTTTTTTTTTTTAAATATAGATGGTGTAAAATACCATCATTAGATGGTATTTCACATCTCTTTCAGATGGTTAGCACTGGATACTTGCTGATTATAACTAAACCAGTTTTATAAAATAAACTTAAATTAATAAAATGGTGCTTTGTTATAAGATCATAATCTAAATCAGCATTGGCTTGTATGGCTAATTTTTCATAAGGAATAAATAAATTTACTTCATAAAAAATCTTAAAATAAAAATAAGAGAAAAGATTGGTAAATAATAGAGTTAAGTTTTTGTCATCCCATTGCCAGGACATGTAGAAGCCAAACCGATTATCGCAAAAGACTGTCTCCACAGTGACAAACACCCAGTAAGTTTTACATCATTAGATGGTATTTCACGTCTCTTGCAGATAGCTGGCACTGGATACTCATTGATTGTAACTGAACCAACTCAGTGAAACAGAAAATGGAGGATTTTTTTTGTTTAGGGCTAAAAGAATTGTTACCAAACCAGCCCAAATCAGCACATTTCCCATATAATTTTCTCATTCAATAATAGAGTAAATTTCAAAATTATACCTAACAGTTTTTCCATATTAGTTGAATTGGAAAGAAATATAACAAAATTAAATATACAAACACTCAGGAAAAAATCTGCTTTGCATAGGGTGAAATTACTAAATCTGATAGACATAGACTTTAATGATTATATATAATTTAGCTACTTAACCACATCAGATTGGTTGCTTCTTTGAAAAAAAAACTTCCATTTACCTTATAATTAAGTGACAGACACAGCCCAATAAACAGTAATATGCCTTAGGCTTCTGAGTAATGGAATTTCTTGCTCTTGTTTATGCTCACTACTCTTCCTATCACTGACCCCATACAAAACCCACCCATTGCCATTGGGTTGATTCCAACTCATAGCGACCCTACAGGATGGAGCAGAATTGCCCCATAAGGCTTCCAAGGAGTGGCTGGTGGATTCGAACTACCAACCTTCCGGCTAGTAACAGAGCTCTTAACCACTGCACCACCAGGGCTCCTGTACCACTGAGCAGAGGTCCTAAATAGAAGAGTTATTTCCCAAATATAGATATGATAAATCAAAAGCAAACATGAACTCTGTTAAGGTTAATTCCAGCATCTAAGTAAATAATAACAGCTTTTGTGTTTTTCATTTTTATAAAATATTTATCACAATTCCCATTTCTAATTCTTAATAATCAGTAGGGAGTTTATTATTATTATTACTGCCCCATAGATGAAGGTTTACAGAACAAACTAGTTTCTCATTAAACAATTAGTACACATATTGTTTTGTGACATTGGTTACCAGCCCCACGACATGTCAACCCTCTCCCTTCTCAATCTTGGGTTCCCTATTACAAGCTTTCCTTTCCCCTCCTGCCTTCAGGCCCTTGTGTTATGAACCCAGGAAGGTGGGTCCTTGTCTGACACTCTCAGACTAGCCAATTATCTGGACACTGGTCTTTGAGAAAGTAACTTTATTGCAATGCTCAGAGCAAGGAGCCAGGAGGAAGCTCCTCACAGCAAGATAGTGGCCACCCAGGCATACTGGGGAGAGAAAATTCCAGAAAGCAGCCAGGAAACAGGAGGTGACATTGTTCTTGTTGGGCCTCTCTCTTCCGAACAGGGTCCGGGTGATGATTTTCCTTCTGATTTGTTCCTGCTGTTGCTGCATCCTCTGCTGAGGCCAATTAGTGGTCACAGCTTTCCCTTCTGTGCATTCGGGGTGGGCCAAATCTATCTTGGGCTAGTTTAAGGACTAATGGAAATTTACTGACATTCGTAGGATCAGGTTACAACCCCCACTTGAGTTGTAGCAATTCCTTAATCTTAAAGAATAAGGGTTGGTGACTCATCTGGCTACTTCCTGCTGACATGTGGTGGACTTTTAGGGACCTAGGAACAGGCAAGAAATGATTAGCTCCTAGGGGTAAGAGGCAAAGAAGGGTTAAAACCAAAGACACAAGGGAAAGATTAGTCCAAAGGACTAATTGACCACAAGTACCACAGGCTCCATCAGACTGAGTCCAGCACAATTAGATGGTGCCCGGCTACCACCACCAACTGCTCTGACAGGGATCAAAATAAGGGTCCCACCCGGACAGAGCTGGAGCCTGAGGTTCACCCTTCAGCCAAAGATTAGACAGGTCCATAAAACAAGATGAGAGACAACAGATAAGTGGTAACTTTGGTGAAGGGTAAGACAGTACACAGTACTGAGGAAGCCAGCACAACTTGTCCAAGGCAAGGTCATGGAAGCTCCATAGACACATCCAAACTCCCTGAGGGACAAAATTACCGGGCTGAGGGCTGTGGGGACCATAGTCTCAGGGAATATCTAGCTCAATTGGCATAACATAGTTTATAAAGAATATATGCCAATGAGCTAAGTAGTTTTCGGTTTATCATATTTAATCTTCACAATAACCCTATAAATTGTCCACTGTTCTTTACCACTATTTTTCAGATAAGGAGACTGAGCCACCTGGAAGTGAAGCACCTTGACCCAAAAAACAACAGCTAGCAGAGCCAAGATTTGAACCCAGCTGGAGGAACCCCAGAAAGCATGGCCCTCGGACTCTCTGTCAACCCAGCACGAAAACCATTCCCGAGGCCAACTCTTCAGTCAAAGATTAGACTGGACTATGGGATATAAAATGATACTCACGAAGAGTGTGCTTCTTAGCTCAAGTAGATACATGAGACTAAATGGGCAGCTCCT